GTACAAATATGCTTGACACAATGGATGCATGTATGAATTGTGATAAGAGTTGTACAAGCCCCCAATAAAATTATTTTAAAACAGAAAGAAAGGAGGAAGTCAATAAGCTGAATAGAAAACTTCAAAGGGCAGCTCGAGAAGACAAAGCCAAGTATTATAAAGAAATGTGGGAGGACTCAGAAAACTAAATACTAAAACTAAAAACTAAATACTCAGAAAACTAAAAGGGGAGAACAAGCTCAGCATATTTGAAACTGAAATAACTCAAGAAAAATTCAAGCCTTGAATTACAATTTTGAAAAAGTACAAAATATTTAGTGATGCAGGAAGTATCAAGAGAAGATGGAAAGAATATACAATCCCTGAACCAAAAAGAACTAGTAGAGAGTCCAACATTTCGGGAGTTAGCATATGAGCAAGAACCAATAGTTCTGAAGGAAGAAGTTCAAACTGCACTGAATGCTTTAGCCAAAAATAAGGCTTCAGGACTTGACGGAATACCCATTGAAATGTTTCAGAAAACTGAAGCTCTCCTGGAAGATGCACTCACTCATCTATGCCAGGATATTTGGATGGCAACTACCTGGTAAAACTGATGAGAAGAGATCCATACTTATGCCCCTTCCAAGGAAAGGTGACCCTACAGAATCTTCAGACTACAGAGCAATATCATCGTAACATTTTGCTTAAAGATGATCCGACAATGGTTGCAGCAGTACATTGACAGGCAACTGGCAGAAGTTCAGGCCAGATTCAGAAGAAGATGTGGAACAAGTGATAGCATTGCTGATGTCAGAGCTTGGCTAAAAGCAGAGAAAACCAGAAAGCTGTTTACTTGTGTTTCTTTGGTCATGCAAAGGCACTCAACTGTGTGGACCATAATAAACTGGATAACCTTGAGGAGAATGGGAATTCCAGAACACTTCACTGTGCTCCTGAAAAACTTGTACATGGATTAAGAAGGAGTTGTGTAAACACAACACGGGATTACTGCATGGTTTAAAATCAGGAAAGGTGCACGTCAGGGTTATATCCTCTCACCATATTTGTTCAATCTATATGCCTAGCAAATCATCAGAGAAGTTGGATTATATGAGGAAGAATGCAGCAT